TAGAGCTAAAACCATTCATTTAACAAGTAACTAGAGCTAAAACCATTCATTTAACAAGTAACTAGAGCTAAAACCATTCATTTAACAAGCAACTAGAGCTAAAACCACTCCAACTACTGCATAATGTATGTTTCTGTTATCGTTGCTGGTTAAATTTGTACTGTTCCTTTCGTTTGTTGTTTCTTGTGTGGTTCTTCTATGAAATTTTGAATTTTTTTAAAATTATTATTCTTGAAAACTTCATAATATTTATATTTTTCTTTTAAGTTTACTTATCACTGTCTCGTGACTTCACTTTATAAAGTTATAATAATAATAGACCATCTGTAAATTTTCAGAAAGGTCTGAGCGTCTATTTTATTTTCAAGTTCCACTATTACAATTAAACAATGAATTAGTTATCATTTAATAACCTATTGTGTTTATCTTTACCCTCCTTTTCTTATCATTGAAAACAAACATTCGTACAATCCGAATCTGCAGCTGTCAGCATATAATAGATAGTAATTACTAGAAGTGAAATACAGATTTCTGTCATTTGCACATGTCATAATCTGATCTGGACACTTTCAATACAGCCTTAAAGGCTTTCGGGTTCCCGTCGATCTTGAAATACTTGAAAAATACACACATTCCATCGATGGGTCTCTAAAGATACATTAACTTTTAGGGCTCCAATGGAACTAGAGGGGCACTCAGTAGGGCGCATACCTTCGCCACCCACCGTTGATCATATGCGGCTCTCAAAACATACGACAATGTGTCCCTATGTTTGTCGTTATCAATAGACACTGACCATCTTTGGCAGAACAATGAGAAATAATATTCTACATATTTCAACTAAGTTTCATTAAAATCTGATCATTTTGGATTGAGTTATAGAGCAGCAACAGAGCGAAAAATCAGTCCCCGTGTTAAAAGACAGGGATTTTTTTATTTTTGTGATCTTTCTGTGATCTTGACTCTACAGAAACTAGTTACTTCTAATAACGGTTTGAATGGGTAATGAAGAAAAACTTTAATCAGTTGTACCTGATGATGACAAAACATTGTCGAAACGTTGAACATTTGCTATTATGTTAAACTTATATTAGTTTTTCTTCATTACCCATTCAAGCCGTCTCCAACCATTATTAGTCTCAAAGTGGGTTCCTCGTCATCGAATTTTAATTACTTCTAAATTGGGTCATAGTCCAAATGTATACCAACTTTCGTTCAAATTAGTTTTCGAGAAATCTTGCTGAGAAACACACAGACAAACAGACACAAAGGGGTGAAAACAAAACCTCCGTCACATTCGGTGGCAAGTAGGAACGTGGTTATATTATGAATCTCAACAATAGAGATAAATAAAGGACGATAGCATTATAGAGACAAATATATATATCTGGTCACGTTCATAGAGAACCCTTTCAGATATTTGCAGGTTATTAAAGTTTCATGTATATTTATGATAAGAGCCAAAAATATTTACAGAAAGCTCCTTTATATAGTTACAAATCATTAAAGAGTCGACGTAAATTTAGGATAAGAAGCAGAAAACATTCAAAGAGAACCTCTTTTATATAAATACACGTTTTCAATGAGTCCAAATAGGCTTAACCTTTTGGTAGAAATAGAATATGGCGGGCTTCTGAGACGAGTCGTCACTGCAGTCTTTCAAGATGAAAAGACGAAGAAAGATAATACTGGTTGATACAATATGTGATGATGCCCAACTACTATTTTAGTTAGTCTATGTTAAACAAAAAACATTTTAAGAGTTGAAAAAGTAAGTAACTTGGTTCCATTAAATATAGACTACTTTTAAAATAAATAAGGTAACAAAGAATGTCTTACCAATATATCTCTTGGCCGTGACCTGGAAGTCCCACAGATCAGGCTTTTTATCTTTCGAAGAGGTCTAAACAAAAATTATCAGAGTATAAAACACGGTGAATTAAATAACAATGGAACAGAAACTTTTAAGTAAAGTTATAATTCAAAATATGTAATAAGTTATAAATGTACTACACTGATACAACGTGTTACAAAACATTCCGGAAATATAGACTAAACAGTACAGAGATAATTTTACTTGTTTCATGTATAAAGAAGTATTAAGCCTAACATTTGTTTATAAAAATCAAGTAGACTGTAACTTTATCAAATTCCTTTTCAGTAATTTTACCATTTTTACACACCCCTGATTTGAAATCCGAAAAACACATATTAAGGGGAATGTGGAAAAAAAAAGATCTGTAATCAGCATGATTTTATCATTAGTATTAAAACTGTTTGTTTTCAAGGCTTCGCTAGCTTTCAACACTTAAATCGGAACTTCGAAGGAGTATTAGTTTCATTGAATAATTCATTTCTAGTGACACACTTTTGCATATTTTAAAAGCATACATTGAATGTTCTTATGTACTAAACAGAGTGTCGCATATACTACATAAAGCTGTAAATAGATGTCTAAATACACGCATTGTTTTGATCCTGTACTTTTAATGGGTACCTATTTGTCATACGTACGTTTGTACTATGTGCTTATAGGCTCACTCACCTTGTAGCTGTCGGAGACGCGCATCGATTGTATTTAACCAATGGCTAAACACGTATTTTGTCTGTTGGCAAGAGATATGTCTTAACTATAGCAAGTTTGACATTTATCAAGTCATCGAAGGTTATTTTCTGTTTTATCATGTTTTAGTAACGGTTGTTTCAGTTATTATTAAACACGTAATAAAATGCATAAGTGAGATTACTTTAAAGTTATGAACATTTCCCTAAGAAGGAGTCGAAAAAAAAGTTTTTACACTGACTGACAACTTTATAAGGAACTCTTCCCCTACTCCCACCTCAATCGAATTGTAGGTGGAACAATCTTTGGCTATATAACGACTTGGTAAAGAAACCATAACATGTCAGAAAGTGTCTTGTTCGATTTACAAAGTGTTTGGCTTGCAAATGGATATCAGCAGGGCTTTCAACTTTGTTCGAGAAATAATGTGGCCAAGAAAGTTGACTGAAAACATTGTCATGGTTGTGGACGAACTTCAGATAATAAGATGTTTGAATATTGTTGTATTATCTACTTGAGCGAATTTGCGATAATCAATAAATAAAGAACGTAATAATTACCATAAGAACGTTTCCCGCACTATTCTTCTATCTCAAACAGGTCCAAATGTCTCAAATGGTTTCATCCTACCGTTAGTAAATAAAAGGATGAAATGTGACTTAGACCATATCATTTATTCATTGTCCGAATGGTTATCAGCAGACATGATATTTTTGTGATGTCTTTTCACGTCGCATGAATGGAGATAACTGAATAATCTTGACCACATTTGAAGGAGTTGTTTCACTGAGACGCAATACATGTATCTTTGTCTAGATAACTCCTCTCACAATTTTGGAGTTACAAGACCTAAACCTGGTAGCTCATTCTGTAGGTTTGTGCTTAAAAACAAAGAAACATAACTAAAAGCCGTGGGCCCAAGCCTCTGAAATAAC